ATGGAAAAACTTAAATTCTGAGACAAATCTATGGAAAAAAGGTTTTTAAAACTGCTAGTAGAGACAAAGTAGCTAATACTCTTTCTTGGTCGGAAATCGAACAATCTTGAGTTGGTAACTACAAAATCTAAATTGATGATGTTATAATATCAGAATCAAGGAGAAATTGATTCAGATCTGATCATAATCCTCTAGCGATGTGTCAACTGTCAACAATATGTATAATATAATCTCGAATACAAATTAAGCCGCTTTCGCAATACTCGTACCGGTTTATCGCCTTGTCGATCAACAATTTCGATCGTGTCAAGTTATAATAATACTAGCAACTTTCGCGCGGTTGCACCCGCTGCTTGGCACTTTTTGATCGCTTAGCATGTTTTATAGTCTCTAGCACTCAGGAACATTATAGCTATCTATCAGTGAAAGAATTTTGGCAATCCGACCATCGGTTCTAAAGATTACCCCCTTAATACAAACTTACAAATTTTACCTCTTTATGATATTAGTATAGACAAGATGTAATACTTTCTACGTAGTATTGCGTAACAGCGTATTTGGTAGCCCTATAAAAACGAAAAACCACTCAAAATGACGTAAGTAATATTGTTAAATAATTTGAAAACCGACTGCCAGGGACGTGACTGGCCTTCTACACGATGTCCTCGAATCCCCGAACTTGTAATGAATACTAAATGAAGGCTGCCATACTTTTGTTTTTTCTTTTTCATTCGTTTTTGCTAATGTTTGATCAATAACTCCCCCGATTGGGAGTGTTTATTGTGTATCTGCCCTTATCAGACACAGACCTGACTGACAGACTACTTTTCGGCTTTGACGATTCAAAAGTACCTATTTTTTGTTTAGTTGGAATAAATGATTTTGACTTTGACATTATCTGCTTCTTCAGTTTTAGACATTTTCTTGCAAAAATTCAACGGCCTTCAAATAAAACCTCATTTGAGAGAAATACGCTGTGATCACTTTTCTATAAACGGTCTTCCGAATACCTTTTTTTGTTTCGAAAAGTTTGTAAACCCAATAAAGATTTTTTCGTTGCAAATTCAAAGCAAAATACGAGTAAGCCTGATACTGCACATCTTTTATTCATTGATCCACTCAATGGCTCTTCAATATTAACAGCAAGAAATATTTTTGTACGGAAACGACGATTGGCTTTCGATAGCTAGTTTGGTGGAAAGCAGTCACGTCCAATGGAGTGGATACCGATTTCGGAACGTTAAGGAAATACCAAATAGTTTTGGTCTACTTCTTGTGATTTACTATCGTAACTTTTTGGTGTAAATAGTCGTGTTAATTGTTATTGGATTGCTTCATGAACAACATAGGATACACAAAGTCAGAGGATAGATTAATTGTCAGCTTGGGCTGCGAGGCCAAGGCAAAAATGTCGGTGCCGTGGACGGTGCCCTGGAGCAGGAGAAGGAACGGATGGTTTTTATTCAGTAAGAATCTGACACTCCATATCTTCCCACCTAGGACGAGAAAAGACATTTGATGATTTAAAAAAAAAGGATTGATTAACTTTACTATTGCACTTTCAATAATTTCTTTCTAAGAACAGGAAAATATCCCCTTAAAACGCCTTTCTTCCTTTTCGACAAACCCACATTAAATCCAAAGTTGCCAACCAAATATTTTTTAAGGACAATAAACAAAAATAAATACTCCAGAGCCTAGATTTCTAGGAAGGCTCTCTAATTAAAATTGATGATCTCATTTGGGACCGTCCTTGACCCGGTTGGGACTAACGACCACTCGTTTATATTTAGTCAACGCATAATAGGCGACGTAAAAAGACAAGTGTTACGAAGTACCGCTTGTTAGGCCGAGCTTTTTTGCTTTTTTACTAACAGACTAGTGGAATATTTTTCATGGATACATTTACTGTGGATGGGACAGTCCAAAATATTATTTCGTTTAGGTCTTTGTTTGAATTGGTTTTCAGTTCTTTGCTGTTGATTTTTTTATTTTTGATGGTATTTCTTTTTAATTTTTTGGCTGTATTACCTACCTCTTAATATTTCGCAAATCATGTGTATTATAGTTTTGGGTCTTTTTTCCTTGGTATAATTGGTTAAAGTATTTGCAGTAGTAGTAACTGATTGGTTTTTCATATAAAAACTTACTTATTCTAGCTTCCGCACGAGGCTTAAACCGCGTGGTTTGTTGATAAAAAGCAGCGTGTGTGTCAATCCATCAAACATACCAAGTTTAAACCAAATCTTCTTCTTTACTTTAAAGAATAACAAAATACATCCATACACTTTCACAAACTTTTACATTTATATTAATAGCTTCCTGTTACAATCTACTTACTTAATTGGAAAATTAAATCTCTTAAGCTTTCGACCCAAAGAAATGTTTCAGTTTCTAGGATGAAACGTAGTTTAGTTACAGTTCATTTTGGTCGTCGAATATGTGGCTGTTTAGCATGTAAAGGTGCCAGTTCACCAGTCTTCTCCAGCACAATAGTGCTTACTTTCTCCTCTAAGGCTCTATGACTTGTACAGCATAATAAACGGGTTATAGTACACAGGTATTTATCATTTAGCTTTTTTAGTCACATTTGAACATTTTGCTGCTGGAAAATGTACCTGATTGTGTTTTACTAAAGTCAATGATCAATTGCCAAGCATAGGTACCAGGTAAGCCAGATTAAAGGAAAAATGCAAAATTTTTCTTGAGCACCTAAAAATGTCTGCATGCTATGGCAATTTAGAACCATATAAAATAGTAACGAGAACATCATTTAAAAATTTGACACACTGTATTTTTATTTTTTATTTATTTATTTATCATCCTTAACACTAACATTACAGACTAATCCAATGCGTTAGTGGGGCATTTAACTAAATAAAACATTATAAAAATACAATTAAAAACATAAAAACATAGACACACACCCTTCTTGGTTAATAAAAAAGACATACAAAAACAAACAATACAAAAACAATAAAATGAAACACATTAACAACTACGGCTTAATCTATCTTATAACATGATATAAATAAAGTCATCCTTGCGAGTTCACTGAACTGACACGAAAAAATATTAGGTATTTAATTATTATTGAAGGACGTGATATGGAGGATCGTGAATTTTGGATCGCCTCATTGTTATAAACTTTAAAACATGCAAAAATGTAACGGACAATCTCCTTTTCGTTCCGAGAGAAAGTAGATTATTTTATATTATCTTTGTCTCTTTCGCGCGTGCTACTTTTCCCTTTATTGGAAAAAAATCCAAATATTCAATATCTAAAAGGAAATTGAATGCTGGTGCCAGTATGGTGTGTACGCGATCCTATTGATAGGAGTTGAAGCGTGTTGCAAGTACGAACGACCCACATTCATTGTACCGAAGACACAGTCGGTGATCTGCTGAACGCATGACACCTAGTGCTGTATTTTGTTGTCATAGAGTAGATATTTTACAGATTTTTCTAAATAAATAACCGAAGATTCGGTTTTGTATTTATTGTAACCGAGCAGACGGGTTTTCTAATGTCGAATTTGTACATTATGAAACAAACAACAAAAAAAAAATACAACTAGGTCCTGACTTCGCTTCGACTGAAAGACTATTTTAATCGTTTGATGTTCCTAAAGTACGCAATTCCATTAGAGCCTACAATACGTAGGAAGGTACATAAGCTACAGAACTTTGATTTTGTTATGTTTTAAAAGAAAACCCTCTAAAGGTTTTCTTTTGTGTTGTATATTTCACATGAAAATCATATCCCCGGAATAACAATTTGTAAATCACACATAGAAATGTTGCGGGACGCGATACGTTATACAGCAGTCAGTTGCTCAAACACTGCGTCAACTGCGTTATCTAGGAAGACGATGGTTTCAATTGTCGATAAAATTATCATAAAACATACCCATCACTAGCTTACGGCCTCCCAGTACCTGCACAATACGCGTGGCGAACCGTTAGTTTGCATATAACAAGAACAGCCATTTCATTGTACTCAGGGCTCTAAAAACAATGTAAAACCGGAACCTTTGCTCTCCACATCATAAATCGTGGAGCATAATCAAAAATAGCAACGCCAACAACCACCATTTGAATTGGAATTGTTTCAAAGGTTCTTTGATATTTTATGTTTTGCTGGACCATGTGACTATGGAGACCATCGTTGCAAAAAAAATGGTACATAGTTTTGAATAATATTCAACGGGTAAAATAGTAACGCTAACTACCACCAACTAGTTGAATTGGAATTGACTTTAAGATTCTATGATTTTTTTTTTGTTTTTTTGGATTATCATGCCCATCTGCAAAAAAGGTTTTCTACAGAGGTTATAGTTTCGAATGTATTTAACAGGTTATGTGTGTAAGAATCCGTATTGCAAGCAATTTTTATTGTTATAACAATTTAAATGGCTTGACAGGAAAAAAATACGTTGCCCCACACTAGGATTTTCTCCTGTGTCGTGGGTGCGTTTACAAACATACAATTGAATATACACATGTTGAAGTTGTTTCAGCCCATTACAAAATAATCGTTTTATTCTCTTCTGTATCGTCTTGATATTTATTTTGCTACTGTCTGCTATAGGGACATAGTGTTTATCCAAATTATTTAACTTACGTTCCTCGGATTCCACCATATAATATACTAACTACCGAAAACAGAAATGGCCCAACTAGGTAGCTTCTTAGGTCAAAAATAAATAAATCCGTATAAATTATTAAGAAATAACTATACTTTTTTCATCGATCTATCGATAAACGAAATTTTGAAGAAATAAGTAAGCTATTTGACGCCGAAATACTAATATATCGTAATTTGGAGTTTCATACGAATTTCATAGAATCGATTCTGACATTTTGATAAAAGTATTGAATTTGACTAGTTGGGAACAACCGTATTCTGCATGATGGTCGGATATGTAAACAATTCCATATTTTAATCCTACATCTCAAAAGTATCTTCAATGCACTTATAGTTATGTGTTTTGTTTCAGGGGGCGGTCTGAACAGCGGCGTTGTCCTTCAACGGTTTCCCGAGATCAACTGGGACGACACACCCTTCCACGACGGTATAGGATGGGTACGTAATCATCTTTCTCATCTTAGTAAGAGCTTTCTAACTTGTCTTTCTTTAGATTTTACTAAAAGTAGGAAGAATATAAGTCTTAAATTCTGAGCATTATGTCTTATGTCATGCTCGCCCATTGCATTTCTTTATTCCTGAGAATGGAAACAAATGCATTTTTGGGCCCTTATTGACAGGATTGATAAAGGCACTCACACGGCAAAACACAACGCTGTGTATGTTTCACGCCGGTTTTCTGTGAGGCCGTTGTATCACTCCGGTCGAGCCGATCTATTCGTGCCACAGTGACACTCCCACACTTAATATATCGGTTCTTATGTCTGGATTTTGCCAATATTAACAATTTTATCATCTGTACCCGTTTTTTCTTGTTCTCTCAGAAGGAAACATCATCTTAATATAATCTAATTCCAATCAATAAAAACACCAATAGAAAAAGTGTGAACACAATTACTCAACAAAGAAATAACCGACATTGTGCCACCGTAGTCGATAAGACTTCACTAGTAATATCGGTAACACTCCAATTATATCGCTCTATTGTTTGTCAACAAGTCGTTAATTATGCGACGCGCTAGTTGTGCGAGGGGTTCCGTAGTGAGGGAGTGCCATTATTTGACAACCGTCGTCACTCATGTCTATAAAGCATGTTGCTGTCGAACTTTTTCGAGAAGAAACAGCATCTTACTGGTAGAATGTTTCTAAAATTTGTAAAGTTGTTAGTACCAATGTGATAGCAGATGAATCTATTAACAATAGATCGATCTAGACTCTATCCTCATCATCATCAGCCTATAAGTGCCCACTGCTGAGCTAAGGCCTCTTTTCATACAGAGAAGGTTAGAGCATTAATCACCACGCTTGCTCAATGCGGGTTGGTGATTTCAAACTTATAATTAGAAATTATAAGTCCAGGTTTCCTCACGATGTTTACCTTCACCGTATGTCAGTGGTGTCTAAATAATCAAAGTCCTCAGAAAAAGTCACATTGGTACTTGCCTCGAACCTACACCGGCGGAAGCGGGCTCCTTAGAGACTATGTTGTCACTGAATTTTGAATTGTAACTGCTCTGTACGAACATTGATTTTTAATCTCCATCATACATAAGCACCAAGATCTCAGACTTTACTTCAGCACCTACAAAAAATGCTAAAGAAACTAAAAAGAAAATTAATGGAAAAAGCTGTAACTGTCGTTTTGGTTTATCTAGATGATATATTCCGGTCAAAGATAGATTATATTGTTAATACATTGGAACTGTCAATCGTGTTCACATTAAGGAAAATGTAATGGAATAGGATGGAGGAAAAGATCTATCACTTGTGATGTCGTCATGAATAAAAATTGTCTTGTATGTCGATCGTCGTCCGACTTTTTGCAGTTTCCACGGGAAATTGGGAAATTCACATTGAAATTATATTCGTCATAAGTATGTATGGGAAGTGGATTTATCGTATCTTCCTTTCAAGTATTAATATTATAACAACTTATATTTCTGTTGTAATGTGTAATGTACTTAAATTATGATCGTGTAAGTAGCTACAACAATACGAATCAAGGACGTTGTCAAGAGTCCCAAGTTCGTAAAATAGCCTTCCTAGCAACGGTTCCTAATAATTTCCATTTCATAACACAATTGTTCGTCCCTTAGGGGCTGCGGTTCATAATTACAGACACGTGAGATATTTGAGATTGTCCCCGACACTGGGATGTTCACGCGCCCGTGAGTCCTTTGACACCAATTAGTGTTGTTTTCCTGTTCGTGTTATAACATACACTAGTAATTAACGCGTCGCTTTGTCCCCTAGATAGCAACGTGGCTTTAGCCTCTGTGTGGTTTTGATTGATCTACTATTTTTATTCAATTTCAATGGGGATGTGGTTATAAAAGCCGACTTTTGCATACATTCATTGTGTAAGTAGTGGTAATGGCAATTTGGTTTCCTCCTAAAAAAACTACATTTAGTTTTGCAGTTTTGTTTTTGTTTTGCATTTAAGTATTGCAACTAATTGTGTAATAGTTTTTTCTACGAATTGTTTGATTGCAACTATTTATCTTAGCTTAAAAGCAATAAACTCCAACGTTCAAGTTCCTGGTCTATTGGCGATTTAACTGCAGGCAATTTCAAGTAAGGAACGGTCATCTTCCCAGACAAATGGAAGTGGAAGGCTAACGACGTTTTCTCGTAGAAGGCTCAAATAAACTGTTACTAGGCACTCTCAATTGTTGGAGCTTTTACTCAGAAAGGCCCTTTTCGCCAATAACGCCTTTTATTGGCATCTCAGTAGCCGTAGAATGCGCGTAAAAGGTCGAATGTTTTCAGATTTGGTTTTTCTCGAACGGGAATTCTAGAAAGGTTCAAAAGAAAATGTTTAAGAAGTTTCTTTTTGTCCAAATGGAAGATTTATTGATGGGACCAAATCTAAAGAAGTTTTCGTTACTTTCGTGTGATAATGTCAGAGGTTTTCCCTGTAACGATTTGATCGCTTTTACTTCTAGTTTCTGTTTTCTATACCGAACCTCTCCCCGATGAAATGTTGACCAGCTTACATTTTGCAGCATTAACTTCTCAGAACCCTTTTAAATTATACAATCAACCATTTCATTATACATCGTCTGCGTGTATTGATTACAATGTACGCACGTCTGCATTATTCTTTAAGAAGTAAGCAATTCGGAGAAGGGCCTGTAATAATACCAGTTCAATGTCGTGGAATGACCAAAGTTCGCATGAGTAATTGAAACGAAGGATCCCTATCAACTTCGATTGAATGTTGAGACTTAAATAAATAGAGACCTTTTCCAACTGTATTTGTTCGGTACACTTTGTAACAATGCCTGAGGGAGTTTGGAGGAAGAATTGAATGAAATGAATTTGGACAAGAATCCGGTGTGTACCGTCGAGTTGATATTTCCTGACTTGTCCTAGCCTTCTGACATATAGGTGAAAATATATTCAATTTCGCCCCCTTTGTGTATTTAGATGGCAAAGGAAATAGTAGACATATTTATATTTTAATCTATTGTTACGAGAATCTTTTCAAGTTTTGAGACTCCTTTGAAACAAGTCAAAGCTGCTAATCTCAAAGATATTCTAATACTCGCTTTTATCCACCAGTTCTGCCAACCGCAAGGATGGGCGCTTTCGACGGAACGGACGGAACCTCGGTTCTACGTGTCCGTTCTGACAGATGTGGACGCCAACCGTCATTACTGCGCCTGCCTGTGCTTCAACGAGACCGTCGCCATTACACCCACCAAGCCTGCAGACGAGGTAAGAGACCTGAAAACGAATTATTGATTTCTGTACTTAGAAGACTAAACTCTCACGGCTTATTACAAAACGAGGTTTTTATTTAGTCCAAGTCTAAATCATTGAGCCAGTTTTTATATTTTGAATTGAAGGTAGTTGAGAATAAGATTCAAGATACAAAACCTGACTTCAGTCTAGGTTTAAACCTAGACTACAGGTAGATACATCTGGTTTTAATAAGGTGGTAAATGTCTTCTTGTAAGACATGGGCTAGTAGATATTTCTTGATGCTAAAAAAAAGTGTGAAAATTTTTTGTTCCATAGTGTCCAAAATATTATAGTATTTAAGTAAAGTAGTTTTAGTCGTGACTGGGAACTAGGGAGTACCCTTTCTATAATTGACAATGACACAATCCGTGCCCACATTAATCGTGGTGTCTGACTGACCGGGTGACATTGGTCCACGCCAACGCTAGACGTTTCCGTTCAGATACTACTGGAAATATAATTACGGGAACCATTCAATAATGTTTTAGTTCCTTTGTGAGTCCCTTGTTTGATAATGTATTATTCCGCCTAAAAGGGAAGAGTCACCTATGATTGAATTATACACACACAAAACGAAAAAAATGTACTAGACATATTTAGAGACAAAGACGTTGTAAATATGTTGAAGGTATTGAGTGCAACTTCATACCTATATAAATATACTTGTAGCTAGATTAACAGAAACATTTTTGTAGATAAGCAAGGATTCCGGGCGTACGCGTAAAATGAACCGCGCTCCCGAAAAGGAACGGGGTGGCTTTTAGTTAGTAAGTTTGACATTTGGGAATGTCAGACTTACTAACTAAAAACCACCTCGTCGCACCCAGGCTGAAAGAAGACGTCCGCTTCAACTTGGAACATTCTTCCTATTACAGAAACCGGTTCAGTTATTAGCAAAGGTTATGAGCTAACAGATTCCGTATGCTCCATTGCTTATATTCTTAGAACGAATAAACCCCAAGCTAAACACAGCTTGATCACGATCCTAACAGGAATGTCGATGGTATAAGGTACGTCAACTATCTGGTTGATCAGACATAGGCAAGTGTATAGTTGGAATTCCCTCATAAATTGTCTAATAGTTTCTCCTTATTATTTTTTTTATAGTTGTGTCTTAAGCAAATAGATTTATATGGTAAATAAGATCCTTTAACTACTTTATGAGTTGGGAATATTTCATTAAGACACACCCCACTATTTAGGTAGTTGTCTGTTCTATTATTGATTTCGGCAATTTTATCCGCATTGATTATTTGGAAAGTTAAAACAAGTGATTTCATCCTACGTAACAGTGTTTTTGAAATGAGGGTGAAAGAAAATGGGACATGGAGTATAAATAAAGACCAACTCAAACAATTAGAATATTTGCTCTTTGATTTTTAACATTTCAACCGTGATTATAAATGTAATCGCATTAATTAACGTAGTAGACTCTGTCAACCACGTACTCTTGTGTCATATGACAATGAGGTAAAAGGGTCAAATCCCTTGATGTTGAGTGATTATCCTAAATAAATCTCAATTTAGAAATGTGCTCATGACCGAAAAACATGTAGCCACCCTTTGCCACATTATGCAGATCGAGATAAAAATATAACATTATGTTAGACAAGGTGAAAGAGGTACAAAAAGGGATGGAGTATTTTTGTTGGACAAGGTCAAAAAATTGACTGAAATTGTTGCATATCGCATGATTATGAAGATGAATTTTGGAATACTTAAAATAAAATTGGAACACGCGGACACAAAAACAAGCGAAAATTTTTTCTTCCAAAATCTGAAACTTTTACAGATAGAGTTTACGAAGACAAGAAAAACCGTAAAAACTTTTTTAACAGAGACCAAATTGAAATGTTTATACTCACATGATTGACGAGTGCATTCGTTGTATAGCGTTGCTTTCTTTGAATGCGGTCTTAGTTTGTTTTTATGGCGAGTTTCCGGCTTTTGTTGCGCACTGTTCGAAGCTGTGATTTATACAGTGACAGCTTTAGTGGCTCGTGCTACGACTAATTACAGCTTAATGTGGTTTATGGAGTACCCAGTAGACTAGAACATGTTCGTGGCGGGTCTTGGCTTGAATGACTGGGGTATTGAGAAATGTTGCTCTGGCGTGTACACTTATGTCGTTGTCGTTCTGCCTTTTAGTGGTTTCTCTCAGCTTATAGTGATGTTTAACAGCTGTAAACATTATGCCGGATCTCTTCTAAATCTGTTTAGTAGTTCTTTTAACCCATTATGCACATATAGGATATTCCTATTTATGAAATCACAATAGAATAATGCAAAAGCTGGCACTGCAAAATAAATATCCACCTACATCTTGATATGAGGTGATATGGTGAATACCCTTGTAAAACTGCAAAGCACCCCTTTTTTCGCTGAAAACGTAATCCTTGTCTCTGCGAAAATCCCTCCATTTATGGGGTTTAGATAAATCCACCAAGCACTTACATAATGCCTGTACCAGTGCGAGCGGTATAGGATTACCTTTGATGCGCTGCGGTAAACCGAACACGGCCTTTGAAGACCTGACTATGTTTATACTTAACAAGCATTATGTTAGATAATAATAGGAAATACGATCATGAATAGACATACTATATTTTATGTGCAAAGTTTCCTACTGATTCTAGAAGGAGGTAGGACTGATTCTAGATTCAATTTTATCTGAAACATTTTTGCCATATTATTTCGTTCTTCAATAAGATGATGGTGATTTACTAAACTGGTTACTTGGTACTTAGATGCAGATGATGTAGAAATCTTGCTTCATTTTAAACTTTAAACTATAGTGTTTTTCATAGGTATAGGTCGTGGTGGTCCTGTCCTGTTGAAACCTGGATAGTGCCAAATTGCCTAAGTTTCTAAGTTATAAGTACTTTCCAAGCGTATTTAGACATCACTCAGTCATATCTGATAGTAAGACTGAAATCGCCAATCCGCCTTTTGCAATCGCGGTTATTAATACTCAAACCTCCGCGTGAGAAAAGGCATTTGCTCAGCAGTCAACACTTCTAGCCCTACATTTTTAAGAAGTGTTGTTGTTGTGTTGAAATGTTTGATTATGTAGCTCTATTTGTTTTGACTATATGTATGTTACTCGCTTATACTTTTGCTTTGACTATCCGATCGTGTTGAATGAAATCCATTTTAATAGCATTAACATAAAAGCAATTTAATGTTGAGCAGTGATTTGTACATACATCATAGAGTAGTTGATTTATATCGTGGGTATACGTCGGGCGTTGTACCTAACATGTTGTAATGTGATTGGTATGTTTATGGACAGGTGGATTGGGTATTGAGAATGCTCCAATTTTGAAGTTATGGGTTGGGCCGTGCGCACTTATAGTCAGTATGTTTATAGGCATGTAGGTACGATTCGTTGAATGGTTTGAATTCAGAAATAGTGTTTAAGAACCTTGATAAGAATTTATTAGTTTAAAGCTGGTTTTAAACACAACAATGTCATTTATGCCACTTTTGGTGATGCTATAGGTGCTTACGTAATCAGACAAAAACAGAATGAAAGAATAGGGCTGTCCTCCGTTTAATTAAGTTACGTGCTTACACGGAAATTAAATGAAAACATTGGAACGAAATCCTTAATCGCTAGTCAGCACACGTTTCGTCGAGATAGGTAAATTGGAATTGTGAGTCAGCTACCAATTAACTGTAATGTTTTCAACACAAAAAGTTGTTATCTCCGAAACACACTTAAGTGCCATCTTACGCAATCTCAACAAAATCATACAACACAAATAAACCTCCCGCCAATAATCTTGCTTAATGATAACCCTAATTGCTTCTGGTTCGTGCAGTGCATTGTGGACCTTAGCGTTCTTTAGATAAGGATTTAAATAAGAGGTGACGTGGTCTTAATGACAGCTGTGGGACCTGTTCTCGTCGTCAGCAGGCAATCCGCTGGCAAATGGGTCTGGTGAGTCATCATTGTCTAGTTATGTCTTGTCTGTTGATATGGGAATCTTCATGCAATGTCATTTGGACAATGAATTGCTAATGCTCTTAAATGTTTTTCTATTTGCGTTTGTAGTTTAACATGAACGAAAGGATTCCTCACTTTCATCTATTTATGGAATGCTTGGTATTACTTCTTCGTGATCCTGAAATTATTGTGGAAAAGATGGAGTTAAAGGAATTTCTTTTTCGAATTACCGAAACATTTGCTTACCTGCTTGAATGGTTCAGTATATTTAACTACTTTTACAGTTATTTCTATCAGAAATTGTAACCTTTATGAAATAGTTCTAGTCTATTGAGAGAATTGAACTGTGCAAAACATTTTCTTCTGAAGTTTCTTCACCCTCTGGCTAGTTTAGATAGAACTAGTAATAAAACATATGACATAAGGGGAGTGAATCATACCAACCCCTCAAAAGAAAAACGTGACTTGATATTGTTAAGGAACTGACAACAGATTGTCGCCATCAATTCGTCAACTCTCATTGCTATTTCAACCTTATCTATGGTCGTACTTAATATTTGCTTTCATAAATATGTATTACACAAACAACAATTTTTTATTTATTTTCTTCTAAATTCTTTTCTGTCGTTACACGGTCTTTTCATTCGTGTACTTCTATTATGTTTCTTGTTTATTCTTCAAATGTCAAAATATCGTGACTAAGTTCCATTTCTTGACGATCGAGAGCTGCGTTTTTCGCTGGAGCAGCTCCCCGATCATTAATAAAGCCAGAATGCGTCCGCTTATGAATGTTTATTATTGATCTTTGATATGATCGATTGTACGTGCTAAGTGGTAGTTCGGTTTGAGACATTCCGTTTTACACGAAATACAATGTCTTCTGGGTTGGCTTTTATGTTTCTGTTTTATTTGCGCTTACGTTTTTGTCTTTCTCCAAAGTGCTCAATCCGCACATTGTCTTTAGATTAAAAATCAGCAATCATTTGGTTTCATGTTATAATCATGAGTCATTTTGTTTGGTTTA